ACATAAGGGGATTCTACAACAACTTGATTAAAAAAAAAAAAGAGGAAATACTTTTCCATTTAGACAACATTTCATTCATAAATGAAAGGGAGAAAGGGAACTAACAACCATAGCTCTAAAAGTACAAGTACATAGTTCAAAAGGTTACAGAAGAAAGAGGAAGAAAAAAAAAGGGGGGAGCAATGACAGAGGCAGCTCAAACAGTCGTTTCAACATCCCCACTTTGCTCGGCAGCCTTCTCAGCATCAGGCCCTTTCTTAGCTGCAGCAGCATCTTTCTCTAAACTTGTCGCCCCAACAGGCTTCAAGCCTTCAAGCTGAGGAACAAAGCAATCAAAGTCAAGGTCAGAGTATGCCTCCTCAGCCTAATCTCGGAAGTTCAGAAACCCATTCACGAAGGACACGACCCCCTCCTTTAGGAGTCCTGAGACCCTGCCCCTCGAAGATGCTAGCTCAGTTTCCTTAGCGGCCAGCTCAGAGGCCTTGGCTTCAGCTCAGCGTCCTTGATCTTCAAGTTAGCATCCCTAGCTGCCAACTCAGAACCTTTTAGCTTGGCAAAATCTTAGAAGCGAGCATCCAGCTCGTCGAAGCATCTTTTCATCTCAGCCGCCTTGGCTAACAGAATTTTCATTTTATCCTCGGTCGCGTCCTTAGCGGCTGTCACTGCGTCAAGAGGCTCCTGGACCTTTGCAAGCTCCTGCCCATGATGGAAATCCACCATCTTCACCCAGGCGAGGACCTAAAAAGCAAAGGGGGTCAGCGAGCGCAGTAAACGACTAAGAGCACCTAGAGGTTGAAGAAAACTCTAAAAAAAAAAGATAAGAGTACCTCGGCCAATATTTGGTTGGCATGCTGCACTTTTCCTTTAAAAGGAACCTGCATAGTTGACTTGGGATTCGATGTAGAAATCAGCTCGAACAAAGCAGCCACAGCAGCCTCAGGGTTACAAAGAAAACCGTTCCTTTGTGGCTTGGGTGAGAAAGGGACGTTTTCCCCCTTGCGGCCTCACGGAGAGAGAGGCTGAGGTCGAGGAGGGACGTGTGAGGCCACAGAAGCCCCAGGCAGCCAACCAGAGGCACTTCAGGAGGAGTCTTACTCTCGGGGTGATCAGTGAATAGCGAGGGTGAGGAGGATGGTTCAACAAAGGCAGGGTCCTCGCATTCCTGTCCTAGAGAAGTGACATCGAGCCCAGACACCGATGCCACCTTGGGGGGTGGTCGCCCCCCCTTCACCAGTTTCCTCCTCTTCCTCAACTGCTCAGAATCTGAGAAAATCGACATAATCAAGTTGGGGTCCATGGTCTCAGTCTATGGAGTAGGCGAAGATGTTGTCCCTGATGGAAGATCAACCAGCGGACCAAGCTCGTGCTTAGCAAGTTTCTCGTCAGTCACCAAATCGAAAAAGGATTGCAACCCAAATACCTCAGCCTTGGCGACTCAGGCAGTCTCCTTTGCGTTTAGAATAGGACGAAAATCTGTAAGACAAGCTAGAGTAAGTAAAGAGGTGAAAATTAGAAGCAGAACAGAAGAGAAAGTGTAGCCAACTAATTGGCCTTACTGATATTCCTCGGAATCCCCCACATCCTAGGGATACGAGGGACGTCACCAGGCTCCCCATACAGCTCCCAAGAGTCCCCCCCCCTAACAAAGAAGAACTTAGGTTTCCACCCCTTGTTAGAAGAAGGGAGCCCGAAAATCAGAGTCTTCGCCTTTACCCTCTTAGTGAAATACAAAAAGCCCAAGGAAGGAGAAGACTTAAGTTGGAATAGGGAGGCGAATTCTGAGATAGAAAGGGGGGAGTCGTTTCCACTCTCAAACCAGTGGACAAGGAAACCGATTAGAAGGCCCCAGCCATTAGGAGAGAGCCTAACTGGACAGACATTATAAAAGGCAAGGACATCCCGAATGAAAGGATGAACGAAAAAACGGAGGCCGGCCCAAAACACGGACTCATAGAAGCAGGTCAAGCCCGAGATATAGGAATTATACCTTTCGTGCTTCTTGGGGGAGTACAAAGATATAGAATCAGGGAAGCGGTACTCCCGCCTCAGATCCTCCAGGTCTTCCTCATCAAGGCAGCTGGAGGTATCCTCCGCATAGCAGGACAGGTCGGACAGGTCACGTCGAGTCCTTTTCCTAGGAATAGAGGGTAGCGCAGTCCTAGACTCCCTCTTCCTCGACTGAGCGCAAGGATCGGGAGGCAAAGTGGAGAGAGGATCGGTATGTACAGTAGGCGCTAAAGATGAAACTCCTAGGACGGACCCCAAAGCCTCATTGTCAGCAGAGAGGAACGACCGCTAGAAGAAGCCGTTGAGGCCCCCTCGGTTTCCTCGTCAACAAATTTCGACTCAAAAGAAACAACGAATTTCCCCATCAAAAGTTCAGATTGCAAGCTGGAATGAAGAGAGGGCAAATGCAAGGAGCAATCGGTTAAAAACAGAGGTTTTAGACACCAAGCTCTAAAGAAGACTACCCTTGACACGGAAAGGTGATCTACAAACCACGATAAGGAAGAAAGGTCATCAGAATGTTCTCCAAAGTAGTTAAACCTCCAGATCAAGAAACAAAACCCAAAGCCCCACCAAGGAGGGTTGAATGGATCCAGGTCGAAGGAGTAAAGAAAAGGAAGAGAAGACGTACCTACTGAAGCGCTAGAAGCAGAAGAGAACCGGAGATGAAGATGCTCTACGTCGCCAAGAGGCCTGGAACGAGACGCCTCGGAAATCGAAAGGAAGGAAGAAGACACAAGAGAGAATTTCAAAGGGCACGAAACTTGAAAAAGCAAAAAAGATTTTCCCTTATACACAACATTTAAGCTGTGATGAGACTGATGACAGGACACGCCAAGGAAATCGTCCCATCGGGCTCATCCGCTAGCAACACGTGTACCACCATAACCGGCAGACATCGACCCAGCCCAAAATCGGGTCAGACCCGGTCACCAAATAGTTTCACTACATAAAGAAATAGAGTCGGATTCAACATTTTCTAACCCCCCAGGTCAGAGATGACGTCATCATCGTGACTAGGGGCTGGGGGGGCAACTGATTAGGACAGAATTTTTAAGTATGGGCCGCTATGGCCATGGAGCCCAAAGCATTCTGCTTCGCCTGTTGGCCCAAGGGAAGCATACCTAGCCAGCCCGTATCAAGAAGCAAAGCCCAAAAGGACTGACGGTCCAGCCTTAGCTGAAAGATAGCCAGAGAGGGAGAAGTCAAACCCTAACCATAGACGCATTCCACCACACCACGCGTCCCAAAAGAACAAGGGGACCATCTCTGAAACCTATGACAATCACACCCATCTGCAGGGAGTGGTGGTGCGTAACGACCCAGGCACAGTGGGTACAGTAACGTCGGCTGGCAGGGTTTTACTGGCAGGGCAAGGACGGAAGGTCCCTATAGAATCAACAAGCAGATAAGATGAGATGATGGGAACCCCTCCGGGGCGTTCGAACACCCAAGAATGCATGAGTTAGAATATAAATTCCTGTAATGGCCCAGCGCCTATAAGACTACTTACTTCAGAAAAGAATCAATATACAGGCTCAAGGAACAAGAGACTCCATTGCAGTGGATGAAACCTTAGTCCACCGGCTAGGGTGAACCACTTAACTCTTATGCCTCTTTCAACCGATTAGGTTATCCTTCAGTTCTCACCACCTAATAGAACTCATCAACTCCCTGTCCACAACCGGACTTGGGCCATAACTTCCGAGACCTCATCACATACCATTGTATAAAATTTTATTTTGGGGCCCCAAAATTTTCTTCCAATTTGGGGGCCCTAGGCAATGGCTTTTGTGACCTATAGGTTGGGCGGGCATGTGGTCATTGAATCTTTTGAAAGAGTAAAATCTAAACATTAAAAATTTGAGTCTCCCTTAATTTAAGTAAAAACTTGAGTTTCCCTTCATTTGATATAGATTTGAATCAAAAATTAGAACTTGTTTTTAGTCTATTTAAAATTTTGAGTAAAAATTAGAGATGCGCTAACACTTACCACGATATTGTTATAGATGAAAACTTTGTTCACCGCATAGTATCTTTTATTTCATATACCATGCATGCAAGTGAAATCTTGAATAATATCAAAAGGTTCAAAACTTTGTTTTGTTTCAAAAAAAAAAAAAGGACCAAAACATTACTGGAAACTGAAACAAAAATATGATTGAATACCGAAATTCCTTATTTTTTGGAATGTTTCAGGAAACTCTAGTTTTTTTTTTTCCCATTATGAATTCCGATATGTTTCTAAAACATTTCTAAAATGTGGAGGCGAAGGGAACATTAATGAGGGAAAACATGAATCTGCGTGACTCGTATGTATAGGGTAAAAATCCTAGTTTCATATGACAAACAAGATCTACAATGCAACCCTTCATCACCAATTTGTGTTCCTCATCTTAACTCTTTGAAATCGGCTTATATGAATCTTATTCTGTCATTGAGCTCTCTGTTAAACTTATGCTCTATCCTTAAATCAATGTTGTATATTCCCACCAATTCTATTGATTTTTGTTTATAAACCACACCCTCTTGGACTAATTCTCAATTCAAGTAGTCCTTCTAAACAAGGTGATGAATGTAGGCGTATTTACCTTTAAAAGGAGAAGTAAAATATAAGCAAGTAAAACTGCAACGCCCTTTGAATTTGTAACAACTATAAATTACACCAGAAGTTTTTGTACAGGATTAGCACAACTTCATACAAAAATTTTGACAACTTACACATCACTTAAACCATTCAAAACACTTTCCAGGTAAATTTAGCAACAACCTGCTTTAACTAGAGGCATTAGAAGTAATCTCATTCAAAGCAAAATATCAACGAGAGGTTAACTTACTACTTTCTTAATGCTTTCATCTCTTTGGATACTCATCTTAGCCACGGAATTCCATCAGTGAGGTTTGACAAACTACTCCCGACATTCTGTATCCAACGGTGAGTTTGGCAACTCTCGTGGATCCAGACAATCTGTTAGTCAAGAAGACGAGACAATTCACCGTTTTGATCTTCTTCCATGCTGCCCTTCCACTCTGGCTTCCCCCAGCCTTGACTTCAAACCAGTGCTCTGCGCCGTAGCAGGTCTCCCCTGAAATGTACTGCCAGGATCTAGTGAAGACCATGGCCCTCCTTGCCGCTTTGGACTTGCGGTGTCTTTGGATGACCCTAATCTAGAACTAGGTAATATATGGTCCCTGCTACCCTTCACGGATTTGTATCTCTGCATTTCATCCCCGTAGCTTTTTCTTTGAGCCTGCTTCTCATATTCATGGACTCTCTCCCGGTCTAAACCATCTCTCAAGCTCTGAAAGCCACCAATTTGGGCAGCCCATTCAATTCCATCTGAAATGCTCCTTTGCAGATAAGTGCTCTTCCTGTGTACTTTTTCTGGGGTAGAATTCCTCCCTTTCATTTCATTGCCAATTGAAACTCTACTAGAATCACGTCCAATGGCAGATGGGTAAGCCCATTTGTAACTCTTATTATTGTTGTCCATGTTCAATTCTATAGAATGAAGATCACTTTCAGCCGAGTCTTCTTCACAGTCTACAACATCCTCCACTTCTCCATCATCTTCTTTTTCTTCATTCTGATGAGAGCCAAAGCGAGTTTTACTCAGGTAGGCTGCAATCTCATCATCATTCCCAAATTTTTGAGAACCGCATCCCTTTTCTTTACCTTTCTTGGTCCCCAGGAAAGCTCCAAGTTGCTTCCTCAGCTTGTCAATGGCCACATTTTTCTCCTCAAACTCATGTTTAGCCTCCGAGAGTTTCATCTGAACTCGCTCCTCACGCAACATGTCAGCTAATTGAAGCATCTCCCTTTCCTTCTCAACCTCTTCATGAACTTTTACAGACTCCCTCTTCTGCTCTTCCATTTCAGCTCTATCTATGCCAATATCCCTAGCTAATTCGTCACACACCTGTTCCATTATTTCTCTTGCCCTCTTCTCGCTCTCAAGTTCTTTCACTGCTTTCATGAAAGATGCTTTTGTGTCTGCTAATTCCTTCCCAAGTTTCTTGTTTAAGCTCTCAAAACGGCCCCTCAACTTCCGCTCCACCTCAAGTTCACCAGCAATGGTCTCAACAGCAGCTTCAACTGCTTGTTGCTCTTTATTTTTCCATGTTGCCTTCTCTTCAGCAAAACACTTCATAAGATAATTGATCTCTTGTTGATCTGAACGTTGTTCTTGGATAAGCTGGTTGACCAGCAGGCGAGCCCCCTCAAGCTCAGCATGCAAGGCCGAGACAAGAGACATGCTTGATGAAGGCTGATCAGCATGAGCCCAAACACGGTTGATAATTTTCAATAGCTCTTTAGACGTGGTCAAAGCATTACTAACATCCTTTAGACGGTTTCTACCACCCACCATGGATCCACTAGGAGTCTGGGCTCNCAAGAATGCATGAGTTAGAATATAAATTCCTGTAATGGCCCAGCGCCTATAAGACTACTTACTTCAGAAAAGAATCAATATACAGGCTCAAGGAACAAGAGACTCCATTGCAGTGGATGAAACCTTAGTCCACCGGCTAGGGTGAACCACTTAACTCTTATGCCTCTTTCAACCGATNTCGAGATCTAGTCTCAATCTGCACCACAAAAGACACATTAAACACACAAGCAACCCTTGATCATTCTTTGATCATATGAGAATAAACATTTTAAAATCATTTGACAATATTAAAAATTTGAGATCAAAATTGTNTCGAGATCTAGTCTCAATCTGCACCACAAAAGACACATTAAACACACAAGCAACCCTAGATCATTCTTTGATCATATGAGAATAAACATTTTAAAATCATTTGACAATATTAAAAATTTGAGATCAAAATTGCNAACCGATTAGGTTATCCTTCAGTTCTCACCACCTAATAGAACTCATCAACTCCCTGTCCACAACCGGACTTGGGCCATAACTTCCGAGACCTCATCACATACCATTGTATAAAATTTTATTTTGGGGCCCCAAAATTTTCTTCCAATTTGGGGGCCCTAGGCAATGGCTTTTGTGACCTATAGGTTGGGCGGGCATGTGGTCATTGAATCTTTTGAAAGAGTAAAATCTAAACATTAAAAATTTGAGTCTCCCTTAATTTAAGTAAAAACTTGAGTTTCCCTTCATTTGATATAGATTTGAATCAAAAATTAGAACTTGTTTTTAGTCTATTTAAAATTTTGAGTAAAAATTAGAGATGCGCTAACACTTACCACGATATTGTTATAGATGAAAACTTTGTTCACCGCATAGTATCTTTTATTTCATATACCATGCATGCAAGTGAAATCTTGAATAATATCAAAAGGTTCAAAACTTTGTTTTGTTTCAAAAAAAAAAAAAGGACCAAAACATTACTGGAAACTGAAACAAAAATATGATTGAATACCGAAATTCCTTATTTTTTGGAATGTTTCAGGAAACTCTAGTTTTTTTTTTTCCCATTATGAATTCCGATATGTTTCTAAAACATTTCTAAAATGTGGAGGCGAAGGGAACATTAATGAGGGAAAACATGAATCTGCGTGACTCGTATGTATAGGGTAAAAATCCTAGTTTCATATGACAAACAAGATCTACAATGCAACCCTTCATCACCAATTTGTGTTCCTCATCTTAACTCTTTGAAATCGGCTTATATGAATCTTATTCTGTCATTGAGCTCTCTGTTAAACTTATGCTCTATCCTTAAATCAATGTTGTATATTCCCACCAATTCTATTGATTTTTGTTTATAAACCACACCCTCTTGGACTAATTCTCAATTCAAGTAGTCCTTCTAAACAAGGTGATGAATGTAGGCGTATTTACCTTTAAAAGGAGAAGTAAAATATAAGCAAGTAAAACTGCAACGCCCTTTGAATTTGTAACAACTATAAATTACACCAGAAGTTTTTGTACAGGATTAGCACAACTTCATACAAAAATTTTGACAACTTACACATCACTTAAACCATTCAAAACACTTTCCAGGTAAATTTAGCAACAACCTGCTTTAACTAGAGGCATTAGAAGTAATCTCATTCAAAGCAAAATATCAACGAGAGGTTAACTTACTACTTTCTTAATGCTTTCATCTCTTTGGATACTCATCTTAGCCACGGAATTCCATCAGTGAGGTTTGACAAACTACTCCCGACATTCTGTATCCAACGGTGAGTTTGGCAACTCTCGTGGATCCAGACAATCTGTTAGTCAAGAAGACGAGACAATTCACCGTTTTGATCTTCTTCCATGCTGCCCTTCCACTCTGGCTTCCCCCAGCCTTGACTTCAAACCAGTGCTCTGCGCCGTAGCAGGTCTCCCCTGAAATGTACTGCCAGGATCTAGTGAAGACCATGGCCCTCCTTGCCGCTTTGGACTTGCGGTGTCTTTGGATGACCCTAATCTAGAACTAGGTAATATATGGTCCCTGCTACCCTTCACGGATTTGTATCTCTGCATTTCATCCCCGTAGCTTTTTCTTTGAGCCTGCTTCTCATATTCATGGACTCTCTCCCGGTCTAAACCATCTCTCAAGCTCTGAAAGCCACCAATTTGGGCAGCCCATTCAATTCCATCTGAAATGCTCCTTTGCAGATAAGTGCTCTTCCTGTGTACTTTTTCTGGGGTAGAATTCCTCCCTTTCATTTCATTGCCAATTGAAACTCTACTAGAATCACGTCCAATGGCAGATGGGTAAGCCCATTTGTAACTCTTATTATTGTTGTCCATGTTCAATTCTATAGAATGAAGATCACTTTCAGCCGAGTCTTCTTCACAGTCTACAACATCCTCCACTTCTCCATCATCTTCTTTTTCTTCATTCTGATGAGAGCCAAAGCGAGTTTTACTCAGGTAGGCTGCAATCTCATCATCATTCCCAAATTTTTGAGAACCGCATCCCTTTTCTTTACCTTTCTTGGTCCCCAGGAAAGCTCCAAGTTGCTTCCTCAGCTTGTCAATGGCCACATTTTTCTCCTCAAACTCATGTTTAGCCTCCGAGAGTTTCATCTGAACTCGCTCCTCACGCAACATGTCAGCTAATTGAAGCATCTCCCTTTCCTTCTCAACCTCTTCATGAACTTTTACAGACTCCCTCTTCTGCTCTTCCATTTCAGCTCTATCTATGCCAATATCCCTAGCTAATTCGTCACACACCTGTTCCATTATTTCTCTTGCCCTCTTCTCGCTCTCAAGTTCTTTCACTGCTTTCATGAAAGATGCTTTTGTGTCTGCTAATTCCTTCCCAAGTTTCTTGTTTAAGCTCTCAAAACGGCCCCTCAACTTCCGCTCCACCTCAAGTTCACCAGCAATGGTCTCAACAGCAGCTTCAACTGCTTGTTGCTCTTTATTTTTCCATGTTGCCTTCTCTTCAGCAAAACACTTCATAAGATAATTGATCTCTTGTTGATCTGAACGTTGTTCTTGGATAAGCTGGTTGACCAGCAGGCGAGCCCCCTCAAGCTCAGCATGCAAGGCCGAGACAAGAGACATGCTTGATGAAGGCTGATCAGCATGAGCCCAAACACGGTTGATAATTTTCAATAGCTCTTTAGACGTGGTCAAAGCATTACTAACATCCTTTAGACGGTTTCTACCACCCACCATGGATCCACTAGGAGTCTGGGCTCGAGATCTAGTCTCAATCTGCACCACAAAAGACACATTAAACACACAAGCAACCCTTGATCATTCTTTGATCATATGAGAATAAACATTTTAAAATCATTTGACAATATTAAAAATTTGAGATCAAAATTGTACAATAATAATCAGAAGCTGAGATAACTATTGTAGAGAGAGATCACAAAAATTACTCCAAAGTCAGAGAATATGAAAGAATGAATGACAAAAAGATCAACTAAATTTCAAAGTTAGTACACCATCTAAGAAAAAGATAAGAGATTTGCAGTGACCTCCATTAAACTGGTACTACTAAGAGAATCCAAAACTCTAACATTGTGGTCTGCAAGCCTAAGCTTCTGAGAAATTGAGGATGTCCTCCTGTGGCGACTACCTGTTTCAGACCGATCCATTCTCTGCAAATCCAATAGAAGGAATCTTAGTTTTTAGAATTATAACCATATGATCGAGAATTAGACTCCATAAGCATACGTGTACAAACAACTCTAAAGCAGGACAAGCACAAAATTTTCAATACTTGGAAGCATCAGATGTTGCTACACTTGACATTGTTGTTGAAAAGAAGTAAAGACACAAGAAGTTTATGAAAACTGTTTCGGAATAATTTTCCTGAAAAAAGGAGGTCTTGTATAACTTAAAATTAGAGATCTTACTTCCTAAAAATTAGGTTAACTGGCGATAAAAATTGACATTACACCACTCACTGTCATTGTTATTGAACCGTAAAGAAAAAAGTTTGTTTTTTTTAAGAACACAAAACAGATTAGCAAGAATTGTTTGTTTTGACCTGCTTTGGCTAACCTTGAATTGGAAATGATGATTTCGCATGAAATGTAAAAATGATTATTTTTAATGGCTAAATCGCAAGTAGAATTCATGTTGACTAATTTCTAAAGACTCATACCAACAGTAAGGATAAGAATCTGACCAAAAGAAATCAGCTCTTCTAATATGCTAACCAAAACAATTATTCAAGTCCGAATCGACTACTTGAAAATCATACTCAGTAGTTACACAAGTCCAAAAGAAACACAACATCGTACGCTCCTTAAAATATTCATGTGGATTGTGGAACTCAATAATATAACACAAAACCTCCATTGAAAAATTTCCAACTCAATAAAGGTAAATTTCACACCTTTGAACCAACCAAAACAACAGTAAACTTAACAATCAGATAGTCATTTTCTCTTCTTTTTCAGCCTTCCAAACGACCAAACATTTAGCAAACAAATTTGCTTTAGCCCACACTTACAACTCACATTAATTGAAGAACCCTACCTCAACTAAACTTCAATTAATTTAAGACATCAAAACAACATTAAACATGAAAAGGACCAGTTATATCCCTTTCCAAGACTCTCCTAACACAGACAAGGAAATAGATAGCTCAATTCAATTTATGCAAAAGATTATAAGAAGAAAAAAGAAAGAAATCCACAATCACCCACCTCCAAAACAACCAAACAGATAGTCCAAACATATACAAAAGATTAAATTCAAAGTGTCATTTCTCATTCTTTTCCACAGCTTTCTCAATAACCAAACAGATAGTCAAAAGTTATTCAAATTAGATTACCTAAATATAAATATAAAATATGAAAACCAACCTGAGAAACAGGACTATGAGACGGATCAGACAAATGGCGAGGGAGTGAACCGGAATTCACCGACCTCATTCTCTCTCTAGCCTTCATCTCTCTCCTCAACAACTTCTTTTCCTCCTCCAAACTCTCTCTCCTCACACTTGGCGATGGAACCTCATTCATTTCCCACAACGTCGCCGCCAGCTTCCTCGCTGACACAGGCCTCGACTTCCCTCCGCTCTGGGAAGCAGCGTACTTGGGAGACTCTGCCATGGACCTCATCGGCGTAGTTTTCCATGAGGGTACTGGTGTGCTGGATCGTGACCCTCCACCTCGGCCCTTACCCACCAAAATGGCCCGTTTGAATCTGTAGTTTTGGAGTCTAGACGATGTAGAAGATGATGGTGAGCAAACCCTTTTCCGGATCTTGCAAGATCCGTTGATCAGATCCTCCATCATCCGATTAGACCTTGGCATTTTCACTTTCTGCTGCTTACGTCCTTGACAATTAGTGTTATACCTCTGTGATCTGGGCAAAAACACAAGCAGACAGTGTTAGATACAGAAATGTGCAAGTATAGTTGAATTCATGAAATGGGTTTTGAGAAGGGTGTTCTATGATCTCACAGCCAGGTTCATGGCTTGATTCGGTCTCAAATTAATTAGGGTATGAAAGAAGATATGATTTTTCTGGTAATTGGGTATGAAAGAAAACACTGAAAACGGAAAGGAATTTGGAAAGCTAAGACCAATGCGAGAGAGAGAGAGAGATGATCTTTTTGAAATGATTCAAAACGATGTACAGAAAGATGAGAGCTTGCATTGCACAGGTATATGATTTTGTCTAGTTGGGTTGGGTGTACTCAGAGAGATACGCATCTCAGGGAAAGCAAAAAAGCAAGGCGCTCAAAAAGAGAGCTCCAATTGCATGTGAGCCAGAACACGTGTCAGTAACTGGTTGGTTGTTAAAAAAGTCTTTTTCACACTTTGACTTGCTTTTACTTGGTTAATTCCCATATTATTTTATTTATTTTTTTTACATTTTTCTTCTATCCCGGGCATCATCTTCTGACAAAAAATATTAGGCGTAACGGATGGTTGTGTAAATTAAGTTCCTAATTATTTTTTATATCAACTGAACACTTCAACTCACTAATTGTAGTAATTAGGTCTTTCTGACTGCATTCGTTAAATTANAAGCAAGGCGCTCAAAAAGAGAGCTCCAATTGCATGTGAGCCAGAACACGTGTCAGTAACTGGTTGGTTGTTAAAAAAGTCTTTTTCACACTTTGACTTGCTTTTACTTGGTTAATTCCCATATTATTTTATTTATTTTTTTTACATTTTTCTTCTATCCCGGGCATCATCTTCTGAAAAAAAATATTAGGCGTAACGGATGGTTGTGTAAATTAAGTTCCTAATTATTTTTTATATCAACTGAACACTTCAACTCACTAATTGTAGTAACTAGGTCTTTCTGACTGCATTCGTTAAATTATTTAACAAAAAATGATAGATTATGTCATTTACATAACGAAATTACAACTTATTTGTATCACATGAATTTATATTAAAAAATCTAATGAATGCAAACAAAATACTCAATTATTACGATTAACGAGTTCAAGAACTCAATTGACAAAAAAATTAATTCAAAAAATTAATTAACACGTGTGTCATAATTTAAGAGTCATATCACACGTGGTGGAGTTTACTCTATTAAGATGGCCTAATTTTGGGGAGATTGATAGTTTTACATTCAATCAAAAACATTTTGATCATCATTTAATAAGTCCAAAAATGATATGGAACTAACAACTCATTTTCCTTTTGTTTATCAGAGAAAGACCGGTTTGTTGGGAGGGGGGTGGGTGGTTGTCCCCCGTATATGAAAATCCTGTTTGGAAAGCTTACAAGCCATGGTTACTCAGGCTGTCACACTGTCACTCTTTAGGCAAATACAAAGCCCCTCAAGTCTCAACCCAAACAAATGGATGGATCTTTGATAAAAAAAAAAACATATTTATATGCATAATTGTCCGTTTAACGGAGATACCTGCTCATCCTTAGTTCACAAAATATACCGAGAGCAGTTCACAGTTTTGTTCATGCCATTGATAACAGAAATAAGAAATTTATCAGCAAGCAAGGATAAGAGGCAAATCAACTAGCAGGAAATATTTCACAATACCAAACTTGGGATGAAGTAACAGTGATTCCTCTAAATGTAAACGTATCTGTTCTGCTCCAGTGCAATTCACTTTTTGCAACTACGAACTGTAGTCCTTATTGATTACAGAGACAGGAGAGAGAAAATGGTATAGATATAATGATTGTAATCCCGGCAGGAGCTTGTTAAAAGGTCATAGGCAAAATAGTATTTTTGTTTTTTCTCCGCGGATCAGTCAAAAATTTTGAAAACCTTGTACTGAATTAGTGACAGGTAACAAAATAACTCAAAGATCCAAGAAAATAATTTAGGAACTCTGAGTTTCATGAAGACGGATCTCTTGAAGGAGGAGAGACCTGGCCCGGTTGATTGCAGTAAAGCAGAGGCATAAGTGTTCCTCAAGATCCATGAGCTGGTGGAAGAAACTGTCATGGTTCCTACAAAGCTGCTTCACTACCTCCTGAATGGGATGCTTGTCCCTTCCCCTCTCCAAACCAAGCCGAATGAGAAGCTTGTCGCCCTCAACCGCTGTATGAAGACGAGCCACCAGGCGATCAATGGTGTCTAGGTCGTTGTGCAGGACATAAGTGCCCCTGGCAGCTGCTTCAAGTTGTGACAGATGAGCCAGCTCTTTCTTGGTCATCTTGGAGGGTAGTAATGTAGGGAGCAACGGGACTGCAACAAGAGCAACAAGAGCGTGACTAGCAATGGCTATGGCAGATATGACAACACCAACGGCAGTGCCAATTAAACAAATGGCAGAGCCAGTAGTACCACGGTGGAGGATGCGGACCCTAGAGTGGGACTTGGAGAGATGACGGTTGAGCTGTTGCTTGAGTTCAGAGAAGCAGGAGCGCATGTCATTGAAATTGTGGGAGTCGGGGGGTGGGAAGGGGTTGTCAAGGCAGTCAAATTGAAGGAAGACATCAAAGGCTCGGTCACACTGGGATTGGGTCATAGATTCAGAGTCTGAAGGAAGCACGTCGAGTAGATCATGCAAAGGAGCATAGACGGAGCGGGCTCGAAGAACGCTTTGGTGGAGGAGGAGGCACAGTTGGGAAGTGTGCTCACTGTGGTCAAAGTAGGCAGAAACAAGACGGGTAAGGGTGCTGGGTCTGGCATAGCGAAGTGCCTCTTTGACATGCTCTCTGTTTGGTTGAAGGAGATGTGCTAATCGCTGCTGGTCTTCATGGGCCTCCAAGTGCTCTAGGTCTATTTCTTGGTAAGAACAGTTGTTGGGGTGAATCTGTAACCATATTTCGCTGTAGGAATTGGTTTGAACTGCAAGGGTGTATTCTCGAGTCAGGTTGACAGAGGGAGATGGTGGAGTGCTTGACCTTGGCGTATTCTCTGTTGAAGTCGCTACATTCATTCAAAACTATGCACCTGTTACAAGTTGTTGAAGACAGACAATGAATTCAAATTGCCAGTTTAGAAGCCTACCTTGCAGAGGTGGTGGGGAAGAAGGAAGATTCAGGGTGGCTGATGAGGAGGGTTGCCTCAGACAATGCAGCATTTTGTCATGCCCTTCAATCAGAATGGCGGGTGTGACCAGTTGCTCTGGTCACTGCCATTCAAACATCCAATGAAAGCACAACACGAAAACAAATGATCTGAAGGCACAAGATCAAACTTTCCTTATCATCTATTGAACATAAATGCACAATGATAAAGAACACACAGACAGAAAGATGATGGTGATGAAACTAAAACAAATAGGGTAAAATGGCTGTGGGATTTCACCTAGATTATGTTACAACCAAAAATCAAGAAGATCAAGACTTCACAACATGAGGAATATTCTTTGTCTTAGTGCTCCACAATTATAAACAAACTAATTCGACAGAAGATTTTCATCAATGATTCATCTCATTTAAAACAAAGCACCTTGAACTTGCAGTAATGTTCCTATTCTTGTCAATCAATGAGCATAAGAATGGTATATACTAGCTACTCACTCGACCTAATGCTGCAGACACAAGGAACAACCCAATAATATGATTTATACTTTATCTCAGAAAAATGTCGGGCAAACTGAAGACTTTCATATAATGATGACTAGATCAACTCATTCTGCCCTAAACAAATTAATCATGCTGATGATTCGTAGGTTACTCAAGCTTGTAACCCTCTTTGCAATGCCTTATAAAATTTCCCTAACATGGAAAACTGTTCTATTGATGTGATGAAGCTTAGTATTTTAGGGCTGGTTTACAACGGTTGGCAAGAGAGAGGCCTAACATTTCTTTCAGAAAGAGGTTGAGTGGGGGAAGAGGTAGTTATCCGTGAAATTCTTTTCGAAATTTGGATCACTACTCTACATATACTGGAAGTGTCTCTTAGACCTTTGTTATGTGCATTTTCTGTTTTTGTGATAGGCTTGCTTGTTTTCTTCCTTTGTTACAGACGTTTAGTGGGTATGCCCCCTTTGATGTGTGGTATAAAATCATAGTTGTTTGTGTAGAAAAGTTTTCTTAGTTTTATGAATTAGGTAGAACAAAATACAACAAAAACAACCCCCTTGTAGTCGGGTTTAAATACAAGGACAACCTTCACTTTTCTGAAAACACACCAACGCTCCTATTAATGTTTGCCCAGTCGCGAATTAACAGAAAGTGATATTTAGACAATCATAATTAATGAAAAATGGTGTTAACAGCAAGTGTTTTTTAGGCATCCACAATCAATCTAAATTGGTTTTATGTGTTTATTCTCTCCACTGACACACACCAATACCACACCTCTTCCTCAACCTCTNTTAACAGAAAGTGATATTTAGACAATCATAATTAATGAAAAATGGTGTTAACAGCAAGTGTTTTTTAGGCATCCACAATCAATCTAAATTGGTTTTATGTGTTTATTACCACACCTCTTCCTCAACCTCCATCTCCGCCTCCTACCCCCAATCCTAAAACCTAGAAAGAAACTCACCACAAAAATCCTCAATAGCCGACCACTCAACCTTGAAAGCTACCCACCCATAGAACTCCTAAGCAGCCAACCACCCCCCTTGAACCCCAACATGAAACCCTTGCCCCCAGGGAAACCCTACTCCCCTCACCACCTAAAGCTCACCCCTACCCCAAAAACCATCACCTATTCCACCCCCAAATCCCGCTCCGGCCAAACTCCCCACTACCTCTTACTGGCCAACACACCACTTCAATATCAATTTCATGTCACGCCCACACCANCCCAAAAACCATCACCTATTCCACCCCCAAATCCCGCTCCGGCCAAACTCCCCACTATCTCTTACTGGCCAACACACCACTTCAATATCAATTTCATGTCACGCCCACACCATGTTCTTTTGACCCATGCCAAATCAAATACTGATTTCAAGATTAAATATGATTCAACAGAGGAATAGGAAGCGTGACTGGAAATCTAAGCTCTACGGAAAAGGCCTCATAAAAACTAAGCCGAGAAAAAAAAATTCCAAATGAGCGATCTGGGTCCATCAAAACTTACAAAGTAAAATTTAAAAGCCACTCAAAGCCACAATTTATTCTGGAGAAATATAAAAGAAAGCATTCCAATTGATGAACTAAACTGTATAAAAAGACTATATTCTTTTCCAATTCTGTCTCTGTTTCTTCTGTTGAAATTAGGTTTCCAAACTAAAAGACTACAATAAAGATTGAATGGATTACTCATACTAAGAAATTGAAATATATATATAAATATATGTATATATATATGTGTTAGCAAAACTGGAATACAAAAACTTAATTAAGTCAGACCTTTGTTGATGGGTGTGGTTTGATGATGGAAATGTGCGGATGAGAGAAGAAATAGAAGAAAGAAAGAAAAAAAAAAGACATCAGTGTGTGACAATATGTGAGAGAGCAATATGGGTTTTCTTGAAGGAACATTTCCTGATGTCAGCAACTCTTTGAGCTATCGGTAATTCCCCTAACAACAATAGTACTTTCTGAAACGAACTTATGAACTAAGATGAACTAAAAGGGAGTTTCATAAGGAAGTACAATCAATTGTGTCCAAAAAAAAAAAGGGTGTCCTTGTGTTTAGAGCATTTTACATGCTGTGGTTCTAATTTTCCCAACAAATTATCACATCAATTGCAATAATCCCCACATTATTCATACGAAGCCCACAAAAGACCACAACGTTTGCAACATTACAGGACCATACACACACACACACACACACACACACACACACACACACAAACATCCTCAAATCAAAAGGTAATAGGAGTAAGTACATGAGTTTATACCTATATTCAAGGAGCAAACTCCGAGGGGGGTCCAAACAAGAGCTTGAAGATCACTGCTTAATGAAATTGGTTGAAGGAAAATGATTCGAAGCACAGTGTTTGTGGGTTTTTGTGTGTTAATCGTCAAGAAGTTTTCTGAGGCGGTCTTTGACGAAATCGTCCCGGGCTTTGGTGCGGGCTTGTTGGGGGGCTATGTTGGCGAAGGAGAGGTGGGCCCCAACGGCGAAGCAGGTTACGCCGGCGATTACAAAACCTACGGTCACCGCGAGTTGTTTGGGCGTTGGTGGGTAAGCCCACAGCACCATCTCTTTTAAGGAGACTTGCTCTTCTCGGGGGTTGACTTGGGAGCGAAGCTAGAGAGAGAGAGAGAGAGAGAATAACACAAAATGAAAAATAATTCAGAAATTAGTTCTAGTTTTTCATTTTTTTTATAAATATTTAGTTTTGAAATAGTTAAAGCAGTACAAAAACATTTTTATTTTCAATGAAATCGAAATAAATAAGTTATGGAATCAAAATTTTAATAATTTGAGATATTTCATAATATTTCGAAGTATTTCATAATATTTTTAAACATTTACACAATTANTCAAAATTTTAATAATTTGAGATATTTCATAATATTTCGAAGTATTTCATAATATTTCCAAACATTTACACAATTGNCAAACAAGAGCTTGAAGATCACTGCTTAATGAAATTGGTTGAAGGAAAATGATTCGAAGCACAGTGTTTGTGGGTTTTTGTGTGTTAATCGTCAAGAAGTTTTCTGAGGCGGTCTTTGACGAAATCGTCCCGGGCTTTGGTGCGGGCTTGTTGGGGGGCTATGTTGGCGAAGGAGAGGTGGGCCCCAACGGCGAAGCAGGTTACGCCGGCGATTACAAAACCTACGGTCACCGCGAGTTGTTTGGGCGTTGGTGGGTAAGCCCACAGCACCATCTCTTTTAAGGAGACTTGCTCTTCTCGGGGGTTGACTTGGGAGCGAAGCTAAAGAGAGAGAGAGAGAGAGAGAGAGAGAGAGAGAGAGAATAACACAAAATGAAAAATAATTCAGAAATTAGTTCTAGTTTTTCATTTTTTTTATAAATATTTAGTTTTGAAATAGTTAAAGCAGTACAAAAACATTTTTATTTTCAATGAAATCGAAATAAATAAGTTATGGAATCAAAATTTTAATAATTTGAGATATTTCATAATATTTCGAAGTATTTCATAATATTTCCAAACATTTACACAATTATTTTGAAATATTTTAATGTGTTTTAAGATATTTTGTTATTCATTTTTATTATATTTTCAAAATATATCGCAACATTTTTTTAAAGGAGTCAAAACATTTTGATTCCCTATGTGAACGAAACAATGTACCGAAATAAATATTGATCATTGTGCACGTTTACATAATCAAAAATACTAATTTTGGGTTACAACTGCAGTTCTAAATATATTAATAATTTTTATCCTAAGGCANGCAACATTTTTTTAAAGGAGTCAAAACATTTTGATTCCCTATGTGAACGAAACAATGCACCGAAATAAATATTGATCATTGTGCACGTTTACATAAGCAAAAATACTAATTTTGGGTTACAACTGCAGTTCTAAATATATTAATAATTTTTATCCTAAGGCACCGTTTGAATGGAGATAATCTTGATTGGGGATAGTAGTCTCAATCCTAATCCCATGAATTACTCACTCCGTTCTTAAATATATGTTGTTTTACAAAAAAAATTTTGTTCCATAATATCTGTCGTTTAATGAAATCAAAGCATAATTAATATTTTTTTCTTTCAAATTTATCCTTAACTTTTCAATGCATTAGATTAGGTGGAGGTTAAGTGTCTTTCATATTCATTTCATTCTAAATACGTATTGAATAAGGATATTTTAGTCTCGTATAATTATTTTTTACTTATATTAGAACTATTTAATAACTTCCTTAATTCTTGTGTAAAAACCTTAAACAACAGATATTTAAGAACGGGGAGAATACTATGTTTTGATGGTTAATAAGTCTATAATTTATATCAGAAATAAGATTATTATTGGAATCAAATTTCCAATGATAGTGGAAATCTTAAACCCACCATGAATGGCGGTAATATCATACCCAACTTAATTAGGTATTTTAAAAAAAGAAAAAAAATCAAATTTAAATCTAAGTTATCTTCCTAAAATCATTAAACTAAAATTTATTACTAAAAATATTAATGAAATAAATATTCATTCTTATACTAAATTATTGACAATACCGAACATTAAATAAAATATTCCTACGATATTTGAAACCCAAGTATCACTTTTTTAGGAATGAGATGAGCATTCCCGATTAAGATTATTGTCATTCAAACAAGGCCCAAATGGAATAAGATAGAAATGTTCGGTATTTGCCTAAAATATCCAAAAAATATTACTGTTTATTATTCTTAAACTAAAATCTCTCATTCTAATTTATTATTACTAATTCTCATTAGATGCATTCAAGACTTGCATCAAATTAAGCTCGTATTTTATTTTATTTATTTTTTGATTATTGGCAATTAACTAGACACAACCATAAAAGATTTTGGGGTTTATTTTATTTGCTCATGATATAAAATAATATAAGAAATCAAAATACATATTAACAATAAATTAGATTTTTTAAGAGAAATTTTAAAATTAAAATAATTCAATGTAAGTAAATCTAAAATCGAATATATAGAATGCAACTTCAATAAAAATATAAATCAAACAATCTTTTTAGTGAACGCTTTCGATATTTGAGTTCAACTATTCGGGTAGAGGGATTAATGAAAGAAGACATTACTCATAGAATTAAGTGTAGGAATGTATCAGTGTATTATGTGATTGGTGTATACCCAAAACAAGTGTGGTCAAAATGTAATTGTCAAGTTATATATGTGGTAAAAAACAGAAATGTTAATGAGGTAGTGGTCATATGATCTAACGTTAAAATTAGATGGAAGGACTTAAGTGAAACAAATTCATAGTTGAGGGATTAAATTGAAACAAGTGAAAGTTCAAGAATCAAATTAAGACCGAAAACAAAGTTCAATGCCCAATTATGAATTTTACCCAAATAAATATGGCTTAGGGTTTATTACAACACATGATTTTGATAGTGTCTTCAAGAAATGTCAAAATCAAATGTTATAGCACAAAGGAATGCACCTTTCAATTAAACAACCCAAAAATGTTTTATCAAAAGGACAAGATATTGGATGTAATGGTTTCATCACGTCAATCATCCACTAATAAATAAACAAATAAATAAGTAAATTCCACATAATTAAGTAACTACCCATTGAAGCTATCCGTATGTAAGACTAGAAGTTTTTCATGAATGATTTATCTCACTTCAAACGAAGCACTTTGACCTTGCAGTAATGTTCCTATTCTCGTCAATCAATGAGCATAACAATGGTATATATAATATACTAGCTACTCACTCGACTTAACTCTACTCCACATAAGGAACAACCCAAAAATTATACTTACTCGTGACAAACGTCGGGCAAACTAAAGACTTTGATATAATGATGACAAGATCAACTCATTCTGCTTTAAACAATTCAATCATGCTGATGATTCGTAGGTAACTCAAGCTTGTAGCCCTCTTTGCAAAGCCTTGTAAAATTTCCCTAACATGGAAAACTGTTCTACTGTTGCGATGAAGGCTGGTCTTGTAGGGCTGGTTTACAACGGTTGGCAATAGAGAGGCCTAACACTCTTTCTGAAAGAGGTGGAAGAGGGGAGGAGGCAGTTATCCGTGAAATTCTCTTCGAAATTTGGACCCAGCAGAACAAGACTCAAAGGGTGTTACAATTAATGTAAATTGCATTCCACTCCCAAATCCCCCTCTGCCCAAACTGCCCACTAAATCTTACTGGCCTACACACCACTTCAATTTCAATTTTATGCCCAAGCTCATGCCATGGTCTTTCGATCCATGCCCAAATCAGATACCTATTTCAAGATTAAATACAATTCAGGGAGGAACAGGGAGCCTGACTGAAAATCTAAGCTCTACGGAAAAAGGCCTCATAAAAAAAAAACTCAAAATGAACAATCTTGGTCCATCAAAACTCACAAAATCAAATTTAAAAGTCATTCAAAGCCACAATTTACCCTGGAGAAATACAAAAGAAAGTTGACAAAACTGAAGAAAGCATTTCAATAGAGGTACTAAGCACTCATTTCATAAACAAGAAACCCATACACACAATTACCATAAAATCCATTACAAACCCAAAAAAAACAAAAAAAAGGCCACAACTTTTGCAAAAACTGCAGGACCATATAGATATAGACACGCTCAAACATATATATATATATATATATATATATATACTCAAATCAAAAGGCAATAGGAGTAAGAAGCACATACGTACCAATATTCAAAGAGCAAACTTCGAGGTGTCAAAAACAGAAAGCTCGAAGGTGCAGTGATGAATCAAATTGGTTGAAGTAAAATGGATCGAAGCACTGTGTTTGTGGGTAATGTGTGTTAATCGTCAAGAAGTTTTCTGACGTGGTCTTTGATGAAGGCGTTGCGGGCTTGTTGGTGGGCTATGTTGGCGAAGGAGAAGTGAGCCCCGACGGCGAAGCAGGTTGCGCCGGCAATTACAAAGCCTACTGTCACAGCGAGCTGTTTGGCCGTTGGTGGTTAAGCCCACAGCACCATCTCTTTTAAAGAGAGTTGTTCTGCTTTACTCTTGGGTCCGTTTGACTTTTGGGCAAAGAAAGAGAGAGAGAAGGGAAATAACAGGAAAATTATTTGGAACGGACCGCGTACCGCGTACATAAGATAATTTTTATATTGCGTGAATTGTTGTCTTAAGCGATACGTTAAAATCTTATGATTTAGGGGAGCTAATGAACTCCGCTAATCCAACAACTTGTACTGGTTTGAGATACAAGATTTGGGCAATAATTTATGAAACATAGCTTTATTCTTTTTTCCTCTTCTTTGGAAATTAGTTTCCTTTTTTATTTCTTTGTAAAAAAAAAATGGCAGAAAGAAGAGTGTCTAAAAACTATCCCGATAAACCTCACCGGTGATATTATAAGAATTCTGATCTTGTCTGTTACTCATCTCAAAAACAAATATAGTTAGATTAGTATAGCAGTCAACCACTAAGCCGCAATATAAACTCAAGACTCAAACTTCCAACCTTAGGGTGAGAAGTTCAGTCGGCACCTTCCTAAACCACTCCACTCGGTGGTATTTAGTTTCCTTTTTCATTTTTTCTTCATAAATGGTAAATTTTTGGGGCACCATCTACCTAATANAATATATATATATATATATATATATATACTCAAATCAAAAGGCAATAGGAGTAAGAAGCACATACGTACCAATATTCAAAGAGCAAACTTCGAGGTGTCAAAAACAGAAAGCTCGAAGGTGCAGTGATGAATCAAATTGGTTGAAGTAAAATGGATCGAAGCACTGTGTTTGTGGGTAATGTGTGTTAATCGTCAAGAAGTTTTCTGACGTGGTCTTTGATGAAGGCGTTGCGGGCTTGTTGGTGGGCTATGTTGGCGAAGGAGAAGTGAGCCCCGACGGCGAAGCAGGTTGCGCCGGCAATTACAAAGCCTACTGTCACAGCGAGCTGTTTGGCCGTTGGTGGTTAAGCCCACAGCACCATCTCTTTTAAAGAGAGTTGCTCTGCTTTACTCTTGGGTCCGTTTGACTTTTGGGCAAAGAAAGAGAGAGAGAAGGGAAATAGCAGGAAAATTATTTGGAACGGACCGCGTACCGCGTACATAAGATATTTTTTATATTGCGTGAATTGTTGTCTTAGGCGATACGTTAAAATCTTATGATTTAGGGGAGCTAATGAACTCCGCTGATCCAAGAACTTGTATTGGTTTGAGATACAAGATTTGGGCAATAATTTATGAAACATAGCTTTATTCTTTTTTCCTCTTCTTTGGAAATTAGTTTCCTTTTTTTTTTCTTTGTAAAAAAAAAATGGCAGAAAGGAGAGTGTCTAAAAACTATCCCGATAAACCTCACCGGTGATATTATGAGAATTCTGATCGTGTCTGTTACTTATCTCAAAAACAAATATAGTTAGATTAGTATAGCAGTCAACCACTAAGCCGCAATATGAACTCAAGACTCAAACTTCCAACCTTAGGGTGAGAAGTTCAGTCGGCACCTTCCTGAACCACTCCACTCGGTGGTATTTAGTTTACTTTTTCATTTTTTCTTCATAAATGGTAAATTTTTGGGGCACCATCTACCTAATATTACATCTAATAAATTAAATTCACACCTTATCAAATGGTCAAAATTAATTTAATTTTTATTTATTTTAATTTAATGATACAAAAATTAATTTTAATTTTTTTTTTCCTCCAAAAATCAACTCGACCAATACATTTTTCAATGTCAAATAATCCCACTCAGCATAGCTGTGTCTAGAGACGTTGTTGAATAGGTGCCACCATNTTCACACCTTATCAAATGGTCAAAATTAATTTAATTTTTATTTATTTTAATTTAATGGTACAAAAATTAATTTTAATTTTTTTTTTCCTCCAAAAATCAGCTCGACCAATATATTTTTCAATGTCAAATAATCCCACTCAGCATAACTGTGTCTAGAGACGTTGTCGAATAGGTGCCACCACCTCCCGTCCAACTTTTAGACACATTCCTATTACTTCAGAGAGAACAACAGGTAGGTAAACATTACATCCCTACCGCTACTCTGGCTTTTGCCTTCTGCCCCAATGTTGTTCCATGAAGATAGAAATAACTATTGTCTTCTTATCTTATCAGCCTGTTTACCATAAAGTGGTCCATACGATTACGATTCTGATATTGACTTTGACTTGTTCTCTTACCTTGTGTCGACATCATGACACTCGGAGAAAGTTCGCGAGTCATCATAAAACTCAGAGAAAGCTCGCGAGTCAATGTAAGTTTCAATGGCCATATATGATTTAACCAAACCAAGTTATTTCATAATTCCGAGCTGGAAGTCGGAGTAAGAGTAGCAATTACTAATATTAACCATCCTGCCATTTCTGACTTTAGGAAGGAGTGGAACAAAGAACGACTAAATNGTAGGTAAACATTACATCCCTACCGCTACTCTGGCTTTTGCCTTCTGCCCCAATGTTTGTTCCATGAAGATAGAAATAACTATTGTCTTCTTATCTTATTGGCCTGTTTACCATAAAGTAGTCCATACGATTACGATTCTGGTATTGACTTTGACTTGTTCTCTTACCTTGTGTCGACATCATGACACTCGGAGAAAGTTCACGAGTCATCATTACACTCAGAGAAAGCTCGCGAGTCGCTGTAAGTTTCAATGGCCATATATGATTTAACCAAACCAAGTTATTTCATAGTTCCGAGCTGGAAGTCGGAGTAAGAGTAGCAATTACTAATATTAACCATCCTGCCATTTCTGACTTTAGGAAGGAATGGAACAAAGAACGACTAAAATGAATTACTGAGTTGATGGCCTCCATCTCTCTTTTCTCTCTCATATCCCTCTTTCTTATTTTTTTTCTGTTTACTTTAATTTAAATTGCATGGTAGATGTTCGGATTTTAGTGTTATAGATTGTTTTGGTAATAACTAAGCAATTCTCAGATGCATTAAAGTCTTGCATTGGATTTAGTTCGTNTTTTTTTCTGTTTACTTTAATTTAAATTGCATGGTAGATGTTCGGATTTTAGTGTTACAGATTGTTTTGGTAATAACTAAGCAATTCTCAGATGCATTAAAGTCTTGCATTGGATTTAGTTCGTAATTTATGCAACAAATGGATGTGGGCCGTTGGATGATAGCGGGGCCCAGTAATATAGGATATATTACAATGCAATATTGCAATTTACAACATATTGCTAATCAAGTCAACATTGTTTTCCTTTTAGATCTCCTCATTTTGTTCTCAACCTTTCCTTCCTTTTCATATGCTTTACACAACGGAAATCAAATCCAGCTTCTAATGAGTAGCAACAGCATGGCTTTCCAAATAAGATATTGCAACAGTAGCATGGAAGGCTACTCCTATTGGAAATGCCTCCTCATCAATGATAAAGTAAGGTGAGTGCAATGGTTGATCTGAACTAATACTCTCGTTTTTTGTCCCAAGTACAAACATGGCTGCAGGCATCCTCTGCGAGTAAAAGCTAAAATCCTCCGCTCCCATGGTCACCGGATACAACTCCATATTCGATTCCCCAAGTAAGATCTCCCCCACTTTCTTTCCATGTTCATACAATGCTTCATCGTTTTCGGTTACCGGGTAAGACACTGCAGTCTCCTCATTGAAGTCCACCACAGCATCACATTGATGCACAGCCGCTTGCATCTCTATGACCTGTAAGAATTCCGTACGGGTACAGCTTTTATTTGAACGAAGTGAAAAAAAAAATGCGATCTTTGTTGTTCATAATTTCAGTTGTATGTCTATGATAGAAATTAGAATGGTGATAAAAATGCCTTCAAATTATACCTCCTTGATCCTGTTCTTGATGTAGGACAAGCCATGAGAAGTCAAGCTTCTGTAGGTTCCCCCAAATTTGACAGTCTCTGGAATTACATTAGCTGCTTGGCCACCCTTTATGAAACCAACCGTCACCACCTACGCCATTATGAAATCTACTGCTCACAAGGCTTCAAGAAACTTATATGCAGTTGTTTGTAAACAATATACAGGACTTGAGAGTTATGGTCTATATACTGTTTTCTTTATGCTACTACAAAAATGATAAGAGTCCAAAACTCAAGACTGACCAGAATTTGACAGATACTTGAAAATCAATGACAACAATTTGATCTGATTTTGTGGATGTTCATGTATATTCCTGAACATACACATGCATGTAGGCATGCATGCACATTGCACACACACAAATGGCAAAAATCCTAGTCCTATAGGAGTCTAGAATGACGCAAAGTACCCAAAAGAGTTGTGTCGTGTCATTTCATCCAATTATAACTAAGTAAATTGGTTTTATAATTCTCTGAATGGAATTTGGATTAGATGCATGGGGTTCATATGTCCTCTAACTGCTATAAATTCATTCCGTTACATGATTACAGTTACGAGATAAAGGTTTCCTGGAGCTATTATTTGTGCTTAGTCATTGTGTGGCAGCATTCTTATTGGATGATTATAGTAGAATACATTCATAAATACACACAGGAAAGCAGGGAGCTTACTCCAGCCTCAAGAGGATCTGTTTCTCTCGATATGATCTGTTGGAGAGCGACGACTGTCAATGATGCAGCAAGAATTGGATCCCTACTTTTATGTGGAGTTGCTGCATGCCCACCTTTACCTTGAATTGTGACCCAAAAAACCCCAGCACCAGCAAGCATTGGCCCTGGCCTCGAAGCAATAACACCAGTGGGAACTGATGGTATTACATGCAAACCAAATATGCCATCAATGTTGTCAAGAGCACCATCTTGCAACATATGATAAGCACCAGCATAACCTTCTTCTCCAGGCTGGAAAACTAGCTTCACGGTTCCCTTTAGAGTTTATGTCAAAACATTTGAAATTAGAACCCATGAAAAATAGAGGAAATTAAACAGGCATGAATTGAAATATGTTATATCATTGACGATGAATGTATAAAACTTACCTTCAATGTGTCTTTCCTGCTATGAAGTAACTTAGCTGCTCCAAGCAACATAGCTACATGGGAATCATGACCACAGGCATGCATCTTTCCATCAACCTTGCTCCGGTACTCCCAATCAACTAGTTCCTTTCAGATAATAATATTATTGATTTCAACGAAACAAGCATACAAATTTGAAAATAGTCAATTTGAAGAAAAGCAATGAACCACAAACACAAACAATATAAAAGGAAAACTTTATCATCAGTGATTGTATTTCCCGTTTGGAAACAAAGCCAAAGCAAGGTTCATCATATCCCTTTAGAGAAGACAAAGGTCTTGCATCCCATGATTGGTGCAAAAACTGTTGCTTTGTTTTTATGCAAGTCATTATGTGCACCGGCAGGTGCATGCCTGTATGAATGAACCAAATTTAAAGTGTACTTATCAGCTTTAATCCTATATACAAAAACTGTTTTGAGACTAGGACAGGTAGTTTTACAAGTACTAAGTGAAACTTTCTCAAAGAGGGCCTTCAACCCTAGGATTATCACAAGATATCTTCATAATCTGTATGTCCATTTGTCTCAGTACCCATTTGTTCTCAACGCATGTAATTACATGATTCCACAAGCAACTTTTTACCACCAATTAGCATTGACCTACGCATTAATCAACAATCTGTTAGGTTCCAAGTATATTGACTTGCAAATGGTGTCCAATGCAAAATTTTGAAAGCCTATCCTGCTGAGATGCCCCAAATAGGCAAGTATCTAGTATGGGCTACAGATTGATGCAAGCAGATTGAGTTAGTCGCTGCGGGTAGCAATTGCAGTTTACAGTTAACAATATTGCTTACCATGAGGATATTATTAAGAATCATTGCCTTAAGAAGATCCTTTTACATTGCTCCAAACAAAACTCAAGTGCTGTTGAGCATGCAGGTGTTTAAAGGACTAGTAAGAGAATAAAGAAAGAACATTGCCTTCCTCTGCTTGAGAAAATGAAAACGAGAATCTCAGGTTGGAAAAATAAATTGTTGTCCTACGGAGGTTGACAAACACTTATTAAACACATTTTAGTCTTCCTATGCACATGTTCCAGTTTTTTCCTCAATTAGCCGACCTACACTTGGGCTAGTAATAAGAAGATAACACCTTACAACTAGATTGAAGATGATCCCTTCCCTCCCGTGAGTGTAGTGAAGGACTCTCGCCTCACCCGCCCGTTTGACTTATGACATCATCGACTTGCTTTTCAATCGATTTCATAACTAGAAAGAAAAACAGCCGTAAAACATAGGCAATGATTTCTCTGTTTTACCAATTTGGTTCTGTGTCATACACATCAAGATCACATGGAAAAACCAATTAGGCATCAAATACTACAAGTTTCGGTTCCGGTCAACCCCATCAATATTGATCAAGTGAATTTTTGATTAATCAGAAAAAGGTTTGTTAAAGTATCACCCACTCCTTTCATTCTTATTGTCTATTTGCCTATTTGGTATCATTAGCAATAGGGGATACTATCACTTCCCATTACAGAGTCACTCTGCACATAAACACAGGAAGAAGAAAAACCACTTTCAAAAACAGTAAACCACAAATTAATGGAGGTTAGAATCTGGGAGGACAAAGTACAAACTAATTTCTCAATCCAAGAGGACCACCAGAGCGAAACCGCCATATTCATGAGGTGGAACCTTTTGTCATGAAAGAAGCCAAACCGGCCAGCGACCCAGCCCCCCCCACCCCTCTTATGCTATTTTGTCCACATTGATAATTCATCTCCATTGACGCGACTTCTTGGCGATTGATACCTCACTGTTCCCCCAAACTGCTCTCTATGGAAAATATCGCCATCATCCTCTCCACCCCCTTTCAATTTCAGTACATAAGCGCGCGCGCGCACACACACACTATACACACACACACACACAGAGGAAGGTAGATCGAACCTGAAGAGGGAGGGCATCCATGTCAGCCCGGAGAGCGAAGAAAGGACGCTCCCCATTTCCGATCGAAGCCACTACTCCAGTCTTGGCCACTGGCCATTTGTACTGGATTCCAAGCGAGTCAAGCTCGTCTCTGATGAGCTGACTCGTCCTTTCCTCTTCAAAACCCAGTTCTGGGTACTGGTGGATCTGCCTTCTGACTCTTCTCACCCACTCGAAGAACTCGGGCTCTCTCGCCGATTCCAGTAGCTCACTGGCCATCGCTGGTTCCAAATGGGTCTCCAAAGCCCATAACGATGATTGGTATAGAACTGTGGAGAGCAAGAAATAGACGATGAGAACAGCCATGGAGGATCGAATATGACGAGAGAGATCGAGAGAGAGAGAGTCTATTCAGGTCTTTGTTTTGGGAGAGACGACATTTTTTAATTTTAACGTTAACTGGTTCATAAATTGTAGAGAGACAAGGGAGTTGGATCCTCTGAATTGCAAAATATGTCCACCTGGATCAATCTCAATCATACTCCGTTAATTTCTTATTAATGAATTTTATAAATCAAAAAATATATTTTTTTTTTGTTATAAAATATTTAGACTTAAGCCGACTACTCATTTGAACTCTTTAGAACCCAAAAAAACCTTAAGCAAATAATTCTCAATAATTGATGAACAACACTTTTATTCAACTTGAAGCAAACTCAGTGGCTTATATAGTCTTACATGATGAAAAAATAAATTGAACAACTCATGTTTTAAAACACACTTAAAAACGTGGTAACAGTTGCTAATGAATAGGTCAAATCTAACAACAAGTCTCTATTCAATAAGGATTATTAACAGAACTTAAAGAGGTCAACTCTAACCAAACTTAATTGACAAGCGGTAACTCAATAACTCCAACAAATCCTCCCCTAAACTGATTGCAGTATGCATTCAGTTTAAGCTTGGTATCTCACAGACACCAATTAGTTTGCGTAGCTTGAGGAACACTTCCAGCTTCAAAGGCATAGTCATGATATCAGCTATCTGCTCATTTGTCCCACAGTGAACCAACTTCACCATCTCCTTCTTTGTAAGACCATGTAAGAAATGAAACCTTGCGTCAATATGTTTGCTTCGACCATGTAAGACCGGATTTTTTGACAACTTGATCGTTGAGTTGTTGTCACACATTATAGTAGTACAACTGCTTTGAGAATGTCCAATCTTTTCAAACACCCTTCAATTCCTTACACATTGGCAAGCACATGAAGCTGTTACCACAAACTCAGCCTCAGTGGTGGATAAAGTCACCACTGGTTGCTTCTTAGAGGACCAAGACATTGCTCCACCACTAAGTAAGAACACGTAACCAGACGTACTCTTCCTATCATCAACGTGTCCAGCATAATCACTGTCGATGTAGCACAACAACTCCCCAGCTTCACCTTTTCTCTAAAAAATACTCAGATCCATCGTCCCCTTCAAGTATCTCAACACTCTCTTTGCAGCTTGCATATGTAAAACAATGGGACAAGCCATATACCTACTCAAAAGGCATACCACAAACATTAAGTATGGTCTTCTTGTTGTGATATACATTAGGCTTCCAATCAATTGCTTGTACACTGTAACATCAACTCTTGCTCATTCTCCTTCTTTTGTTAATCGAAAATCATGAACGATAGGATTCTTTACTGGATTACTATTCTCCAGTCCAAACTTCTCAAACAACTCCCGAGCATATTTCTTCTGACTCAAGTAAATTCCTTCAGAGGTTTGCAAGACTTCAACCCCAAGGAAATACCTCATTTTACCTAAGTCTGTCACATCGAACTCATGCTTCATGGAATTCTTAAAACTTTCAAACATGTTTAAATCATTCCCAGTAAAGATTAAATCATCGACATATAAACTCACAACTAAAAGTTTACCTCCATCTCTAGACTTGACAAATAAAGTAAGCTCATAGCTGCATCTTTCGAACCTCTCCTTGATAAAATATGCCTCTATTCTGCTATATCATGCCCGTGGCGCTTGCTTCAAGCCATACAACGCCTTCTTCAATCTATAGACCTTGTGTTCCTCACCGTTTCATTCACATCCTTGTGGTTGTTCGACGTACACGGCCTCATTCAACTCACCATGTAGAAACGCACTTTTGACGTCAAGTTGATACACATTCTAACCTTTTTGAACAACTAGAGCTAACACCATTCTAAGGGTATCCCACCTTGCCACACCATTCTAAGGGTATCCCACCTTGCCACAGGAGCGAAGACCTTTGTATAGTCTAATCTTTGCTATTGAGCATAGCCCTTTGCGACCAACCGAGCCTTGTACTTGTCAACAACTCCATTGTCATTCAATTTTGTCCGAAAACACCCATTTTACTCCAATCTTTTTGGTTCTTGTAGGTAATTTGGTGAGTTCCCAGGTCTTGCTTATCTCGATTGCCTTTATTTTCTAAATCCATTGCACTTCTCCATTTAGCACTCTTGGCAGCCTCCTCAAAACAACTTGGATCTTCATAAGTTGTGAACAAGACAAAGTTAAAGTTATGTACCTCTTCTTCTTCAGACAATCCTTCCCCCCGCTTACATAATCATGCATCCATGCGGGTGCACTTCAGTTTCTTCTCTCAACTGGATTTGAGGCAGGTTCATTGAGTGAATCACTACATGATGAAATGATTACTCCTTCATTTTGTTCTTCAACCACTTCATTTTTCAGCTTCTGTCACTTCTTTTTCAGCTTCTATATCACCATTATTTTCAACTTCTTCTTTACTTGCAGAAGACTCAACTTGATCTTCATCATCTTCACCCCACTCTAATACATCATACCTTTCTTCTTCAATGTTCCTCCCCCAATTCCAACCCTTATCTTCTTCAAAAACCACATCTCTACTTACTACGATTTTTTTGGTAATTGGGTCAAACAGCCTATAGGCTTTAGACTCATCGCTTATCCCAAGCAATACACATTTGAAGCTCTTGTCATCTAGCTTTACTCTTCTCTGATCCGGTACATGCACATAAGCCAAGCAGCCAAAAACTCGAAAGTAGTCCACACTCGATTTGATTCAAGTCCACATCTTCTCAGGTGTCTTATCCTTTACTGCCAATGTCGAACTTCTATTGAGAACATAAGCCATCCATTTTGTAGCCTTTGGTCAAAAAGTCTTCGGCACTTGCTTCTCACCAAGCATACTTTGAACCATATTCATTATATTTCGGTTCTTGCGTTCAACTACCCCGTTTTGTTGGGGAGTATACGCTGCTATAAGTTGTTTGCTTATGTCATTTAACTTACAGAAATCATTAAACTCATGGGAGATAAATTCCCGTCACCTATCGGTCCACAAACAACATATAGATGCACCTATTTCATTCTCGACCAAGATCTTGTAATTTTTAAAAACAGTAAAGGCCTCAGACTTTTCAGCTAGATAGTATAACCAAACTTTTCTACTATAATCATAGATAAAACTTATGAGATACTTCTTTTGACTATTGGAGATAGGTTTGATGGGGCCATAGATATTGGCATGCACGAGTTGCAACCTTGTTGAAACTCGCTATTGACTTCTTTTTGGAATCACCTCTCTATGTGGCTTTCCCAATAGACATCCAATGCAAGCCCTATTTGTGCTCTTGGCAAGAGGCAGTCCTTTCACCATCCCCTTATACTGTAGCGTCCTTAAGCCTTTATAGCTCAAATGCCCAAATCTCTAGTGTCACAACTGTGAGTCTTCTTCAGTAATTGTTTGCAGGCAAGATGACATTACTAGTACCACAACATTAGCAAGTAGTACAAACATTCTGTTTGTAGTCATCCTTGTTTGCATGATTAGCCCCTTCTTAGGATGATACAGTTTACATTCTCCATGGTGAATCAGTATGGTCAATTCTTTCTCTTGTAGCTGCCCAACACTCAACAAATTGTTCTTTAAATCAAGTATATAGAAAACATCAATAACTACCTGAATTATGCCACTGATTTGTAGTCGAATATTGCCTCTTCCCATTATTGTCATTCTTGAGTTGTTTTTGAGCTTTACTGAATGTCTGAACGCCTCATCAAGATTGGAGAACCACTGCTTATTCCTGCACATATGATTAATATACACCGAATCAATAAATCACACTACTTCTCATTTTGAGTTGTCTGATTCCACATAAGACATTAGGAACATCTCCTCCTCTTCATCAATTTCAGCATAATTGGCACCTTTCTCCCAATTAGGACATTCATATTGGAAGTGCCCTAGTTTGTGATATTTGAAGCACTCAATGGTAGCTTTGTTCAAGGGCTTGCATCTACCTCTGCCTCTTCCATGTCCTTGAACTGATCCTCGACCCCTTCCTCTACCTTCAAGTCTTTCATCATGAGTAATCTTCAAGGCTTGTTCTTCTTGAACATGACCATTCATTCTTTGTTCATGCACAAGTAAGCTGCTCTGTAGCTCATCGATCGTCAAAATCTCCAAATTGTTGGATTCTTCGACTGAGCAAACCACATAGTCAAATCTTTTGGTCATCGACTTTAAGATTTTCTCAACAATCACCACTTCGTCCATCTTTTCTGCATGAATCTTCATCTTGTTTACAATTGAAAGAGTTCGAGCAAAGTACTCATCCACTTTCTCTCCTTCTCTCATCTGGAGAACTTTGAATTTCCTTCGTAGTGCTTGCAACTGACAACCTTTTACTCTTGTTGTTCCCCGGTAATTTTGCCTCATTGAATCCCAAATACTTTTTTGTTGTCTCCTTGTTGAGGATTGTTTCCAGGATAGTTCTGTCAATAGCCCGAAAGAGATAATTTTTTACCTTTAAATCTTTTAGATGTTGTGCTTCAATGGTCTTTCTTTGGATTTCTGTTGGCTCCACTCCGTCTGCAACTACAAGGATTCCATTCTCCACGAAGCTCAATTAATCTTTTGACCGTAAAAAATTCTCCATGAGCATGGCCCAATGGTCATAATGACCATCAAACCTTGATATTGCAAGTTGGATAAAACCTCTTTATGTTGTCATTTTCTCGTTCACTCTTTTTTCTTTTCCTGTGTTTCCCCTCTCACTTTTCTCTTGTTAGGAAGTTGTAGCTCCTAACTTGACTCACTCGGGCCCCTTGTTAGGGCTCTGATACTAGAATTGTAGAACCCAAAAAAACCTTAAACAAATAAATTTTAGTAATTGATGAACAACATTCTTATTCAACTTGAAGCAAACTCAGTGACTTATATAGCCTTACATGATGAGAACAGAAATCAAATAGCCCACGTTCTAAAACACACCTAGAAATGTGGTAACAATAGCTAATGAATAAATCAAATCTAATAACAAGTCCCTATTCAATAGGGATTATTGACAAAACTTGAAGAGGTCAACTCTAACCAAACTTAACTGACAAGCGATAACCAATGAGCCTTTGGTCCAATGATACTTCTTATCTTTTGAAAGTTTTGTCTTCT